ATATATATATATATATATATATATATATATATATATATATTTTTTTTTTTTCAACTACAAACAAAGTGCTTCAATTGTGAGAATACATTACCCACTGAGCTACTCACTTTGCCTGATCACTCCTTTTGAATGAGTGTTTTGCCACAGTGGACAGCTGATTGCATCCAGACTTTAACTTTGCACAATTACTAAAAGTGAGCATGCAGCTGCAGCAGAAAGGAAAACCCTCTTTAATAGGAAAAAACATTTCCCAGCAGAACCTGACTCATTGGGAATGGACCATCTGCCGCGACTGACTGGGGATTTAAAACGACTGAGAAAACACACAAAATTGCTGATCCAGGAGTAGAGTGTTAGTTATAGAAAAGGTATGAATGGCAGCAGCAACTCCTGTATTGGCTTCAACAATTAGAGAAAAATGAAATAAAAAAAAATGTCTGAGCAAGTTTAAAAAAAATACTTAATGCAAAAAGTATATATACAGCTGTAGGTAATTCCAGCAAGAGCTTCTTTATTTGTGTTGAGTGAAAGAGTTGGATACAGAAAAGTAGACATCCTTAGAAAGAAATAATAAAGTTATTGGCAACTGTAATTTAGCCAATGGCTCCCTCCTAGAAAGGTTTCACAGTTAACCTGAAATGGCAGTCTGAGTATAACTTTCTATACAGTTAAAAAAAACAGAACACAAAGTTATGCAACATCAGTTGCTGGAGAAGCATAAATGGAGAGAAATAATAGAAAGTAACAAAGTAAGAAAATGTTGTTGGTATATTAGATGTTAGTATCTTAAAGGAAAATAGCTGCAGAACAACAATGCCAAAACCTGAGCTGCTCTAACAAAACGTTTATGAAAAGGAGTTTTAGTCCTAGTCTTAAAAGCTGAAAGGTTGACTGCCTCAGAAAAAATAAACCCAGAGCCAGAAAAGGAGCCTGTCAACCAAATTATCTGTCTCTATTTTTCTCTGCCCTTGTGCTAAAACAAGTTCAGCGTATATAGTTGCTTTGACACTTACTCTCGCTGCACCAGGGTCTCCTATCAGCAGGTTGTGCTTAAAAAAATAATCCAAAGATCTCTGAAAACTTAATTTAATGTTTTTTGTGTGTTCTCTTTTATCTGGATGAGAAAAATGAATAGGATAAAATATGAGTGATAATCTTTTTCTTTATTTTGCTCTTTGAACATCTCAGTAACATTTTTTACAAGATGATGTAGAGGTATGTATGTCAGAGGTAAACAATATCAGTGCATAAATTAAGCTTAGTATAATGTGAATTTTTTATGTTGGATTGTTAAGGGTGAAGAAAACAAAGACCAGCTGCTAAAAACTGGCGCAGAGTAAACCGACTAAGAAAAAAGGTTCATGTATATAAATTTGATCTTGTTTCAGATATTGGCTTGTAATAGAGAAAAACTTACTATGTATTTTTGATACTCTGAGGGTCATTTTAATAAAGTTGATTCTAATGTCAGTCTGAGGCATTTTGAACATACTTCCAAATGAGACTTAAAAGTTTTAGGAGTTTATCTAAAAAGGTGTTATAAGAAAACCCTTCCTTGTACCATTGCCTTGTATGCTCTATTAAAAATGTAAAAATGTAAAACTCACTGAAAAATTACCTCATCAGCCTCACAGTGTCAAACTATTTTCTTCATTTTATGTTCACATTCTTTGTTCCTTGGCTTGAATTTTTACTGATTATGACAAATTGTGACAAGAATGCAGTGCCTCTAAAGGAACATTACAGATGCAAAACACCAAAACAGCTACATCAACAAAGAGGACCTACAGGCTACTGATGGGATTTGCATGTCCTCATGTCATATTAGGATGGATCTAAGAACATTTAAAGCCACAGCTTGCACAGGTTTTAGTACTGAGTGAAACTCCAGCATAATCTGACAGATATACCTGTCGCCTTTTTCTTACGGTAAGTGATGCACGGACAGAAAAGGATCAAACAGTTTGAAAACCACACAATGCTTAATAGTGAGCTTTAGTTAGACTCTTGATGTAATTTTGATTTTTAAACAATAACAAAAAAAATATATACTTTTTTAATAAAATACATTAAAACCCTGAATTTTGCTAAGCTCTTATACCGGCTCCATGCAGTGAACAAACAACTCCCCTGCTGGTGAATAAATCACTGAATGGCTTTGTGCCAAAATGCACTGCAGGTTTATTTTAATTGTACAATCCTTTCAGGCACCAAGGTACTCTGATATCTACTCTAAATCCCGAAAACCAGAACCAATGCAGAAAGCAGCGTTCAGTTCTTATGTTGCACTTATTCAGAACAAACCATCAGAGGAGCTATAATGCTGAAACCCTGGGTTCTTCCAAATGAAGAATAAACAACCTTTTATTTAGGCTTTTGTTTAACTGTTTAAGTCATACTCATGGAGGGATTTTTCATGAAATGTGAAATGTCCCTTATTTTTAAAATCACACTTTTATTCATTGGTTTTGGACACACCCTCAGGAACCTGTTTTTTTAACCTCTGTCTTTATTGTTTTATTGATTGTGTTGTTTTAACAGTCTATTCATATCACTCTTTTTCCTTGCATTATATATTAACTGAATCATGGTAAGCTTTTTATTTGTCTTTAATACGCAATGTATGTTTTAGGTTTTCCTTTCCATGTAAAGTATTTTGAATATCCTCTTCTTGAAATCTGCTTCACCAATAAACTTGCCTTGTTTTTGTGTCTTGGTCACAGTCCTCTGCACAGTTTTCTCAGGTTTTCACTCCTAATTTTGGCTTTTACAGCATGTCTTCCCCTTCTATCTCTGTCTGTCTTACTTGCTGCACTACTAATTATTAACAGCTACTAGTGCTACTGAAAAAGTGTTAACATGAGGTTATATGTGACTGCTGACCAGCTTTTCACAATTTCTCTGGTATTTCCAATTCTTTGAGGCCAGAAAGTCTCTTAACCATAACCCTTTATTCCTACTTAAGTTTGGTCACACCGAAATAATAGAATTCCAATTCAGAAACAAAAAATATATACAGTATGTACTTTGAAGGTCATTCCAATAAAGCTGCTGCAACTACAGGAAGGATCTATGGGCTTGGGTGAGTGTTAGGATTCCAGTGTGTGTGTGTGGGTTGTTTTTGTGTTTTTTCTTCTCTCCACCACCAGATGGTGCCCTGTTCTCGTTGGGCCTCCTTACACACCTGCGGCTCGTTGGGTCTTTACCAGAGGAGTATTTGAGCAGCGGGCTGTCACTACCTTGAGGCCAAAGTGTTTGCCAGTATTGGGTACTCTAGCCATACTGAGATTAGCAGAGTCTAACCTTGGTCTTGTCTCTGAGTCTAAACTTGTTTTTGTATTTGTTCTTTGGCAGGAAGCCTTCCTGAAACACTGGATAAGCCTGGACCTTCTACCCCCCTGGAAGGATTATCTGAGTCACACTGAGCAAGGGGAAACCTCCACATGATCCATTCAAGTCCACTTCTGGAAAACCTAGTGACAGTCCGCTCCTTTACTCCTCTGGGTCTAACATTAGTCTGCCTGTCCGCTCTCCAACGAGTTCATTCTTCTCTGGATTAAAAATGCAGTTCTAAAGGCAAATATGGTACAACAGTTATTGGTTTGTCATGAGATCTTATAACGGCCGAAGTAGATGAGTGTCACCCAAGACAGAAAACTGACAGAAATAGTGATATTAGATTTATTTAAATGTACATTATGTTTTTATTATTACATTATTTTTTCTGAGGATCTAGAGCTTGATCAGTTGTATGCAGTGCAAACTAAAGGAATTTCATATCAAAAGGTAAGCTAAAAGGTAAAAACAGAATTAACCAAATAGACTTTGAATAAGACACTATTTGAATTAATAAAATAAAATCATCTTAGAAAAGTCAAAGGTGCAGAGTTTTTAATATAATACAGGATAAAATATCCAAAGCACTGGAAAATATGGACCCTGCCATCCAGAAATACCATCCGATTGGTTCCGTACAACAAAATAAAGCAGATTAAAGTCGAACCATGCATAGCATCATGTGATCTTTTAATATATATATTTTTTCCACATTAGTTAAGAGTATCTGTTGCAAAGGTACAGGCAGGGTTAATTTGTGTATAAGGTTTCACATGAGGTGAGGTGACAGCTGGAGGAGGAGGTCCTGCTGAACTTGCCGTCCCATTCTTCCATGGAGGACCTTTAGAAGTCAGGTCTGTCCTTCTTCAGGCTCTTGTAGTCTGTGTTGACGGCAACAAACTGCGGAGGGAAAGTGGAATACATTTAAATCTGCTTTGCTTAAATTAGATTTATCAGGGCTGTCTTCAGGAGGGTATGTTAAAAAATGAAAGGAGTTTAAAATTATACAAACACACCTGCATGAATATAATTTACTAAAATTTAGGGGGGTAATTTTTCTCTCTTATATTCTCATTCTCTAATGCCTTATAGCCAACAGTTCGGATGGATTATAGTTACTGTGTGGTTGCATAAATCAAAGGTAAGTACCTACCCGAAAAAGCTGTTCATTTTTATTGCACTGATATATTTTTTTTTTACATTTACTTTTGATAACCATTTCAACTATTGAAATCTTCTCTTTCTTCGCTCCTCGTTATGGTTATTGTTTGGACGCTAGTGGAATTTCGATGTGAGACCTTTGGCCTGCTGGGGAGAATTAAACATGTTTTGTCATGACCTTTTGTCTGCAGAAACTTTTATTCCTTGGATTTAAACCCCAGCCTTCAAAAAAAAAAAAAAACTCAGAAAAGTTATCTCCTCTCCAAAGTCATCCTGTCTAGATCCATACAGATTCCGTCAAATTGTTGTTCTATACGTTTTACTTTGAGTACATAGTTTTAATATGACCATTTGCTTTTCTGGTTTTTACCTTTCCTGGGAAGAATAAACATTACAGCTTCAACTTTTACACTTTTTCATTTTAACACAACAGCATTCAGTGTATTTGGCGGGATTTTGAAGTGTAAATAAACTTTGTCAAGGTTTGGTTTGGTTTGTATGACCCAAATGCAGAGGCAGAGAGGCTGAGGAGATTTCTAGGAGTTTTAATGGGGCAAAAACAGTAAACAAAGTCAGGAATCCAAAAATCCAACTAGAGCCAGGGAGAGACGAGGTAGGTGGACAACAGCATGGGAGGACAGCAAAGACAAGGAATCAACAAAGAGTGAGAGCAGAGGGAGAACATATAGAGCTAACAGAGACAAAGGGAGGGCTAACGAGCTGACAAGGAGCAGGTGTGAGAGGAGACAACGAGGGAGCCAAGGGAAAGGAACACACACACACACACACACACACACACACACACACACACACACACACACACACACAC